TGAGTTCCAGGATAGCTAGGGCTGTTATACAAAGAAGCCCTGTCTCAAAAAAGCAAAAACAAAATAAAATAAAAATAGTTGTTGTTATTTTATGTGTTTGATTTTTGAGACAGGGTCTCTTTGGCTGTCCTGGGACTCGGCTATATAGATCAGGCTGGCCTCCAACTCACAGATATATCCTTCTGCCTTTGCCTCCACAGTGTTGGGGTTAAAGGCATATGCCACTATACCCAGCTGTTTTTACTTTATGAGTTTTTATGTGTATGAGTGTTCACCTGCATGTACGTCTGTGTACCACATGTGTGCAGTGCCAGAAGAGAGTGTTACATGCGCTAGAAATGGAGTTTCAGGAAGTTGTAAGTTGTCACGTGGGCGTGGAAGCTAAACCCCTGTCCCTGGAAAAGAAACAAGTTCTCATTACCTATGAGTTGTCTCTCGGGAAGGAGTGTGGTCTTCTTCAGGGAAAGTCACTAAAATAGGATTTCTGCTGAAATTCCTAGAAAACTGTAAGTTTACAGCCAGGAAAGGAGAAAGGCCCTGAGAAGATGCTAACTATGTTAGAATCCTTGATCCTCAACTGGTCAAAGACTTCATCTAACGCTGGCATGAGGGAGTCCTTTTCCTTTACATGTCTAGAACTTTCCCTATCTTCCTCTCTTGCCTCACCTGCATACATGACACTGTCACACAGTCCCAGTATGCCTAGGCAGGGCCTTGGTTAAGCCATAGCCTGTCCACACTGCAGCCCTAATTCTGCCAGCCTGTAGTCAGAGCCAAGCAGTGAAGACCTCTATCAAACGCTTCCCTGGCTCCAGTTTATATTGGTTACCTGGCTCTGTCCTCCTGGCTCTGTCCTCCTGGCTCTGTCCTCCTGGCTCTCTCCTAGACCCTGGTGGGACCCTGTGTGACAGGTTGTTTCCTAATCATTTGTCTTTCTGGCTCTCCCACAGGCTTTGTTTCTGAGGGATCCCTTGGGCCATGGGCTGTGCCTGAGACAGATTGGCAAGTCATGAACCTTTTATCAGCGCCCAGTATTGCAACCCACATAAGTTCCTGGATCAGTGCTGGGGCAGCAGGGGACAAAGAGCCTTTAGAGTGTACAGAATAATGAAGTGGCCTCTCACAGGGCCAGAGCTAACTCAGTTGACCTACCAAAGAGACCAAGGCTGACATGCTGGTCAGGGAGCAGAGGAGGAGGTTGTCTAGCATTTATATACAGTGTCCTGCAGGTTGGACCTACCCACCCACTGGCCTAAGGACATGGGTGAACCTCTCCTTCAGCCTCGTGCCCAGCCAGCACTCAGCCCCTCAGCCCCTCCAGTCTTTCGTGCTCGGCTGTGGCATGGAGCTTCTGGTGAACCAGCCCATGCATCCCAGGGCTTGGGGGATCTTTCCTTTCACCCTGGGAAGGAAGGAGCAGGGGCTGCCTAGATGAACATAACCCACAGCCCCTTCCTTACCCTGCCAGGTGGCAGTTGAGTAGTACTGGACACACGCAGTGGGAGCTGACAGTGTCCATCCTGATCGAGGTGTCCCCGCCATACAAAGATCAGGGCTCTCCGTGTGCCACTGCTGTCTCAGGATAAAGAGATAGGCCTTGTGCTCAACAAATCCCTCGTTACTCCCAGGGTTCTGAAGCAATTTGCTCCACTGCCCTGAGATGCATCTCTTCCGTTCCACAGAGCACAGATGGGAAACCTCAGCCAGCTGCAGAAGGGAGAAAGGCCCTGGCATTTAGGGGAACTCCTTCGTGAAGCCACGGCTGGATCGCAGGTGTCCCTTAGTCACTGTGGGGCCACAGGTGTCCTTGTTGTAAAGTTTTCTTTCCAGGATGTGGTGTGACAGAGAGAAGGAGCAGAGCCTGGCAGGTGGAGAGTCCTCCGCCTACTTGTAGGCCCAGGCAAGAGCATTCTAGGGACAGCAGTAAGGCCCTGGAGCGTCTGAGCCCAGCAAGAACGGTCTATGTGGTGTATCAAGATCTACTGGGCTAGTATTAGAGAAGAATGCTGTAGACAACCTATGTTGGGGGTCTCTGGGGGGTCCTGTGGCCAGTGAGGAAGGCCAATCATGAGCTTTACGGGAGGTCACAGAACGGGGCAGTACCCGTTAGGAGCAGTTCTCCACGCAGTGGACCTCATATCCCTGTGGAACAGCCTGGTGCTCATGTACCGGGATGCTGCTAGCATGTGGATGCTACCCCAGGTCCCGCTACCGACCCTTCCCCTGTGGGTGCATTTCTTAGTAGGAAGAAGCAATAGCCACTGCCCTGCAGAGCCACCCCAAGAATGAGCTCTCGGGTGCTAGCCAGGTGAATATAGCAAGAGCCCGGGATTGTTAATCACTGTTCCCCCACCTTCGTTCCCTCCAGGACTCAAGTTTAGTCAAATGACCCCAGATAAACTCTCTGAATCATGCATTTGTAAACAAGCCCAACCACCTTGTAAGAAGAGGCCAGGGTGTTGAAAAGTCCTTGGAAATTGCTAGATTGTGGTATCTAAGACCCCCTGACTTCACTGGCAGTGGTAGGTAGCATAGGTGTCAGTACTAGGGACTCATCTACTCTCAGGGGTCAGTAACGCGTGTAGAAGCCAGAACTCAGTAGTGGTTTCTTCATTTGCTCTCCTTATTTTCTGGGACAGAATCTCTCACTAAATCGGAAGCGCACAGTTCTGCCAGCCTGGCTGGCCAATGAACTCCAAGAACCTCCCTATCTACTTTGTGGGTGCTGCGGATCTGAACTCGGATCCACATGCTCGTGTGGTGGGCACCAAGCCATCTCCCCAGCCCCTCCACCTGAGGGATTTTTGAGGGAGCCATAGGAGGTACTGAGACTGGACTCCACGCCAGGTGAGCTGTGTGAGCTCGGAGCTGGGAGGCTCCCTGGCCGCTTGGAGCTGCTTCACTCGTGAGTCCCTTGTGAGTTGTCCTGTTTCTTGTACTACTTCCTCACCAGGGTCCCTCAACTCAGGGCCCCTGCCTGGTTAAGACTATAAGAATCAAATACATATATATATTTGATACAAAGCCTCACAAGTCTACGATGTAGCCCCGACCTGAAACTCACTCTGTAGACCAGGCTGGCCTTGAACTCACAGAGATCTGCCTGTTTCTGCTGCCCAGCGCTGGGATCACAGGTGGGAGACACCATGCCTCTCATTGGCAGTTTGTCTTTCGTGAGGGGCTGTCGGGTGGAGCAAGCGTGTAGCTGGATGGGGTGAAGATGGCACTCTGGGCTGGGAAATCACTGCCTCCTGACCCTGGCATTCGGAGGGTCTAGCATTGGGGGAAGGGTGTACTGTGTGTTATCCTTACCACAGCAGAGTTTCTAGTCAAATACTAATCGTCTGCCAGGAACTGAAAGCCCTGCTCCTTCCAAATCCCATTTAAGATCGCCAAGGAGGGCCAGTAAGATGGCTCGGGGGGGGGGGGGGGGGTTAAGATGTTTGCTACCAAGGCTGAAAACCTGGGTTCAAACATCAGAACTCATATGATAGAAGGAGGAACCAGCTCTGGAAAGATGACCTTGACCTTTGACCACCTACATGTACATGCAATGGCATATGTCCACTTCCTCCCCATGCAGAGAGGTATGAGCATCCCCCCTCCTCCTCCTCAAAAACAGGAAAAAAAAAGAAAAGAGGCAAGAAAGGGAATGAACTGGTTAAAAACAAACAAAATAAAAGACCCTTGGGGAAGGGAGCAGTGCCAAATCCCCAAGCAGTCACGGGGTTCTTCCAAAATACTATAGGATTTCTGAATTTGCTAGTACTCCTAGGGTATGCCCAGTGTCCCTGGCCTGGAACCACTGTTGTCAGAGCGGCTTTAGGAGGTGAGAATTGTCACTCCTTTCCCCACAGGACACTGAGGCCTGAGTGACTTATCCAAAGCCACCCAGTTAGTAAGATGGCAACTGGAAGGACACCCTCTCCTTTCAAATTCATTCTGGATTAAGAACATAGATTTTGTTTTGTTTTGTTTTTGTTTTTTAAAGACAGGGTTTCTCTGTATAATAGTCCTAGCTGTCCTGGAACTCACTCTGTAAACCAGCCTGGCCTCGAACTCACAGAGATCCACCTGCCTCTGCCTCCCGAGTGCTGGGATTAAAGGCATGAGCCACCACCGCCTGGCAAGAACACAGATTTGAAGCCAGGCAGTGGAGGCACACAGCCTTAATCCCAGCACTTGGGAGGCAGAGGCAGGTGGATCTCTGAGTTTGAGGCCAATCTGGTCTACAGAGCGAATTCCAGGACAGGCTCCAAAGCAGCACAGAGAAACTCTGTCTCGGAAAACAAAACAAAACAAAACCACAGATTTGAGCTGGTGCTGGTGGCATAGGCTTGTAATCCCTAACCTGAAGTTAGAGAGTCAAAGATTGAAGGCCTGCCTGGCTACAGAGCAAGGTCAGGTCAACTGGGAGACTGAACAAGACCCTGTCTGAAAAGGAGTAGAAAGAGGGCTGAAGATTACAGCACAGTGGTAAAGTTTTGCCCAGCAGACACGAGATCCTAAGTTCCAGCCCAACAAAACTAAATGGGGCTGTAGCGTCATTTGGTAGAGCACTTGTCTAACATGCGGGAAGCCCTGGATTAATTTTTCAGTGCCACGTAAAAATATGATGGTAATCCCAGTATGTGAAAGTAGAGGCCAGAAAAATCAGGAGTTCAAGGTCATCCTGAACTCCACAACAAGTTCAAGGTCAGCCTCGGACATAGAAAACCTTGTTTTATCACAGATGCACACACACACACACACACACACACACACACGTCCTCACTTGCTGGGGACCAGCTCATGTCTTTAAGCAATTAGTTCTCCCTTCTGTGTTGTTCCCACCTCTGCAAAGCGCAAGCTCTGGTGGCCCCATGTCGTGGTGGCTGTGAGAATTCAGTAGTGTGACTTCGGTAGTACGGACTCCTGTCTACCCACCTACTGTTTGCACATCACCCAGCTGCTTGGAGGCGCTTTGCTTATGTCAGTTCATTGAATCCTTAGGTTTATTTTCCAGAAGAAGAAATGGAGGCCCGAGGTTGCAATTTCTCTAAGAATTACAGCGCAAGAAAGCGACGGCCATAGCAAGATCTCAACCATAGCTGCTTTTGGCAGTTCACACTTCAGGTTCAGGGTCCTGTCCCTGCGGGTGGCCCTTGGCGCTGGTGAACTGTCACTGTCCTCTCCTTCCTGGATGGTAGGGATGACAGGCCAGCAACTTTACACGTAGAGGTTCTGGAACTTCTGCGCCACCCCTGGTCCTTCCAGGACTTAGGTGGGGGTGGTACACCCGCCTCCAGGCACCTGCAGCGGGCCCAGGCCTGCTAAGGGAAAAGGGCAGGTGGTGGGCGGAGCCGGGCGGGGCCCCGAGAGCCTGTAAAAGCCGCGCAGGATGGAGCTCTGGCACTGACATCTGTGGCTATGGAGCGTCCTCACTTCCAGCTGGCGATGGGCCTGGCCCTGCTCGCACTCTGCCTCCTGACTCTGTCCCCGGACGCCCGCGCCGAGCTGCGAAGCCGAAGGATCGGAGAACGCCAAAACCTGTCTCCCAACGATCCCCGGGTGCAGAGGGCCGCACAGGTCGCTGTGAGCACCTACAATATGGGCAGCAACAGCCTTTACTACTTCCGAGACACCAAAATCGTCGATGCAGCGTATCAGGTATAGTGGCTGCTGGTGGTGGGACAGAGTGGGACAGAGTGGCTGTGGAGAAGGAGAGGGACAGGGACAGGCCGGAGAGCTGATGGCCAGATACCAAACAGCACTAAGACAACTATGACGCCGAGCCCATTTTACAAAACAGTTGAAAACAAGCAAAAACGGACAAATGACAAAACCTACGGCAACCAGCGTTATCTAAATATAAAAAAAAATTCAGGATTCAATCATTTTTGGCATCACTAACCTCACTTCCCTAACCGTGTTAGATGGAGTGGGAGGGGCCCCAGGCAGAGCAGGTATCACCCGCCCGCCATTCTCCACATCTGCCCCAGTTACAGACAGGTGTACACAGGGGCTCTGCAACCTCCTGCGAGGCCTGCAGCTTTGCCTCGACCCCAGGTTACACCTAGAAGCCCCACCTCCACTCCGGGTCTGAATTCTTAGGTCAGAGTGTTGCATTTGCCAGAGGAAGTTGAAGACTTGGAGAGAAAGTGTAGACGCGTACCTCGGTTGGGCTCCCAGGTATCTCTGACCCGCCTGTCTTTTCCCAGCTGGTGGCTGGCCTCAAGTACTATCTGACTATGGACTTAGAGAGCACGGAGTGCAGAAAGACCAGAGTCTCTGGAGATCACATGGACCTCACCACCTGCCCTCTGGCCGCAGGCGTACAGCAAGAGGTAACAACATTGACCCCAGTCCAGCGCTCTGCAGCGTCTGAGGCCCTTAGCTTGCCCATCCTGACTTGTCTATCTGGCCAGGCAAAGGCCTGGATGGACCTGTCCTGTCTGGTCTTTGTGTGACTCAGGCCAGGGTGGGGTGCAGGGAGGAGAGATTGGGGTTTCTTCTTGGGGTGGGAGTTGCCTGATAGACCTGGGATCATCTCCTGACATCTGACTTCATGTTTGGGTATCACTGGTCATCTATCCCTGGATGCAGAGAGATGTGGCAGGCAGGAGGCTGACTGCTGGGAGGAGGAGGCTGGCACCAAGCTCACCTTCCTTGCCACTGTGTTCTCTCCTCAGAAGCTGCGCTGCAACTTTGAGCTCCTTGAAGTCCCCTGGAAGAACACCACTCAGCTTCTGAAGCATGACTGTAAGGTGGTGTAATCTGTCCCAGGGGACAGTGATGAGATTCCCATGGGAACCAGCACGGTGGTGGAGGGACCTCAGGGCCATGGGCCCCATCTGCTGAAATAAATTCTTAGCATGGCTTCTTGCATTGAGTTCTCCTGTGTATTCACTCATCCCAGCTCTCACTCAGCTCCTAGTGACTCTCAGAACTCTTCAGCTGACAGGCCCTCTGCCCTTACCCCCAGAGAGCCCCTGCTGACTGGCCTGAGGCAGTACTGAAGGTGCGTCCCTCAATAGGAAAGAGGTTCTTCAGACACATCCAGTAGTCTTGGAAGTAAGGGAGAAGGAATGTCACAGAAGAGGGATGATGGGCCAGGTGGTGGTGGCACAGACCTTTAGTGCCAGTGCTCAGCGGGCAGAGGCAGGCAGATCTCTGGGAGTTCGAGGCCAGCCTAGTCTACAAAGTGAGTTCCAAGACAGCCAGGGCTGTTACATAGAGAAATCCAGGTTCGAAAACAAACAACAAACAAAAAACTCAAAACCAATCAAACAAAAACAAAGGATGAAGCCCTGAGACTGTTACAGAGGGACGTCTGTGTGAACAGGACTGGCATCTCTTCCTGGGTTCATGCTGGAACTCTGACAGGGTGGATGGAGATGAGAAAAGATAGTCAGAAACTGCCGTCAGGAGGGCTGCAAGGGCTGATGACCCAGGCCAGCACGTTGATCTTTTCATTGTTCTCACATGAGGGAGTGGTACAGAGCGTCCGACAGCAGAATTACAGGGAGCTCACAATAATCTTTTCTCCCTTCAGCAAGGAACATTCTGGGACAGCAAACACAGCACTTCATGTCTCAGTGTCTGAAATGTTTGACCGCATACATAAGGGGGAATGTCAAGTTCCAACTTCAGCCTTTGAGGCCTTGGCACTAGTCCAGAGCTGGCCTTACAGGACATGATTCTGGCTACATTGAGGGGCCTCCAGGCAGTTTGCAATCCAGTCAGGCCCACACTATAAACACTTGAAGTCAAGCCCGCTAAACTCTCAGTACTCGGGAGTAGTGTAAGGCGTGCACCGATGTTCAGCTCTGTGGGCTCCAGGGCACTTGGCTCCTAGGTCACAAATATTCTCCTGCACACTGGTAGCAGGAAGTGACCTCCTCTCCATCAGCTCCCCATAGGCCAAGAGGCCGTGAAGTTAGGAACCTGCCTCTCGCATCCTCCCCAGAGGGATTTTCTCAGTGCTTTGCTTTGGGCAAGATTCCTAAAAAAACCTGGGCCCTGGGCGCTGGAACACCGGAGGGAGCAAGAGCCAGCCTGCTACCCTGGAGGGCGGCTTTCACAGGAGGCGGCAGGGTCCATCCAGTGTCCTGCTGGATTGGAGGAAACAGGTATTACGTTCTCTGTGGGCTTCGTTGTGGTTACAATTCCTGTCATACACATGGTCAAATGAAAGAGGTGGGGCCAGTCACATAAACCACTCAGGCGACATGCCCTGAAAATGCTAGAAACACAACCTAGAAACACACAAGTAGAGACAACAAGCAGAAAATACGTGCAGCAAGTAACCTAGAGATGAGCTCCCCAACCCTGCAAGTCAGCCCTTGAACCGTGTCCGGAAGTCTTGCTCAGATACACTAACACACATCTACCCTGGGGACAGGCTATAGCCACTGGTTGCTTTGAGAGCACTAGGAAGTGCTAGGCTCAAGCTGGCGTCACAGGGTGGTGTGGAGAGTGACCAGACACTGCTTGTCACAGTTCATGCCTTCTCCTTGCTAAGAGAGGCCTCACACCTCTCTTGTTCCTGTCTGACCCCCTCCTCCCTCCCCACGCTATGGCTTCATGAGCAGCAGTTACAACTAGGGTCCTGTCTAGAGCCCTCAAAGGCCACATCAGGGAGAGAATGGAGACAGAGTGCCACCTGGGAAGCCTGACACACTGAGGGGCTAGATTTGATACTGACATAGGGGACACTTGCAGCCCTGCGTCTGCTGGAACCTGATACCCACAGCAGTTCAGTTTGTGCTATGCAGTCACTGCTTGGAAGGTTTCCCAGGGTTTACCAAGCAGGAGATACCAGCATGGAGCTGGAGCCGGTACAGTGTGTGAGGTCTGGGGAGAGGCAGGACTCCAGAAAGCCCATGTAGTGGTTTCTCCACCCCTGGAACCTGTGCCCAAATCCCAGATGACATTTCCTCTGCTTGGTGTATTCCTGGGCCTAGGCGTGACTAAGCAAGTTTAGGAGAAGAGTTTCCACCAAGCAATGTTTGTCTTAAAGTCCCAGAGATTGCACTGCTTCCTGGCAAAAGCCAGTGGTCAGGGTTGGTGTTGGTCTGACCACCCTCCAGCTCCCATTCTGGAGTCCCTCCAGGCTACGTGACCCCTGGACTGGCCTCCACTAAGAGTAAGGTTGCTATAAATGATGGAAGACAGCTAACCCTTGGTGGGGAGACCCTGGGCCAGGAGTGAGCATCACGTTACTCAATGCTTAGCACAGACAAGTGTCCCACTGGCAGTCCCATGTGGACACAGGGGCTCTCTCTGGACATCCTTCCGGGGCTCGGACCATGCATGCTCAGGACTCATCTAAAGCAGCCTGACAGAAGCAGCCATTTTCTGTGTCCTTCTTTGAACAGTAGTTGGTCCATGTCACACGGCCCTGTCCTGATCGGCTCTGAGGCCAGGAAAGTTAAAGGTCTCCTCTACCCCTTTACTAGGTTTTGTAGTCTCACACGGGTGGGGAAGGGGATATCAGTGACCTTTAACCTCTAGGGATTTTTGGAATATTTTATGTGCATGCATGCGTGTCTGTATGTGGGTTGGGCATGTGAATACAGTGCCCATGGAGGCTAAAAGAAACTGTCAGGTCCTTTAGACCCGAATTACAGGTGGTTGTAAGCAGTCTGATGTGGGTGCTGGGAGCTGAGCTAGGGTCCTCTGGAAGATCAGCAAGTGATCTTAACCACCCAGCTGTCACACTAGCTCTTCCCCCACTTTTTTCAAACCTCTGGGTTCTTTTTAATTTTTATTTATTTTTGGTTTTTCAAGACAGGGTTTCTCTGGGTAGCCCCGGCTGTCAGACCAGGCTGACCTTGAACTCAGAGGTCAACCTGCCTCTGCCTCCTGAGTGCTGGGATTAAAGGCGTGAGCCACCATTGACCTTTTGAGTTCCTAATATTCCCACTGGGTAGGTACCCTTATGTTAGATGCTGGGGCTCCTGGTAAGCCTGAGTTCCTGGGTGCTGGCACCCATGTCTAGAGTCTCATGAAATCCTGATGATTCTGGGATGTTCCAGTCTGTTCTTTTTCTCCCGACCTCAGGCCAGACAGGCGTTTCTCCAATTAGCAGAGGACTTTGAATTTGCTCCTCCATCACCACCCCAGGCTCCTTTTTTTCTTTTTCTTTTTCTTGCTTTTTGTTTTTGTTTTTTTTGACACATGTTTCTCTGTGTAATGGTCTGGCTGTCCTGGAACCACCACCCAGCAACAGTCTCCTCTTTCTGTGTTACCCTTTTGATCCCTTCGAAAGCATTGTGGCTCTGAGCTGGGAGGCTGGGACCTGGTGAGGCTGGGAGAGATACAAGAGGAGCCCTTCTGTGTGCAACTTTAGACACATGCCTGCAGCACACTGTCCAACTCCGCATGCAACTCTTACATGCCTGCAGCACACTCAAACTCTTCATGTAACTCTTGACGTATGCCTGCAGCACACTCTCCAACTCCACATGCAACTCTTGACGTATGCCTGCAGCACACTCCCCAATTCCACATGCAACTCTTGACGTATGCCTGCAGCACACTCTCCAACTCCACATGCAACTCTTGACGTACGCCTGCAGCACACTCTCCAACTCCACATGCAACTCTTGACGTATGCCTGCAGCACACTCTCCAACTCCACATGCAACTCTTGACGTATGCCTGCAGCACACTCCCCAATTCCACATGCAACTCTTGACGTATGCCTGCAGCACACTCTCCAACTCCCCTACTTTTGCTTCAGGCTAACCAGTGAGGACACAGAGCCACCTGGGCTTTTTAAAACTCTGTTGGGACTTGAGTCCAGCATGGTTCTGGATAAGAATGCCAGCAGAGTTAGGGACTTGTCCCAACCCATCCTGGTCTGCCACTTGCCAAAGACTCAAGTCAATATGGTGGTACTCCTCAGGGTCATTTCCCGAAATCCTCTTCTCCAGCCTGTGGGGTCAGATAGGGTGTGTGTGAGAGAGCCAGGGCCAGCCTTTGCCAATGCCACACCTGTTACTCAGAACCACTCTGGGTAAGAGCTCCTCCCCCAACCCTCTCTCTACCTTCCCCCCTCTCATCCTTCCTGGTTCACCTCAAATGCAGTGTCGACAATCTCATCGATGACAGATGCTTGGGAACGAAACTTCTGCTGGTGCTGCTCCACCGATGCCACCAACCGTAGGTACTGGAAGTGGAGCTCCCGCTGCCTGGAGTCGGGCAGAGGCAAGGACTGGGTTCCTAGGCCCTAACATGGCTCTGCTTGCCATGACCTAGACCTCTATCTCCAGTGTGCCCCTCTTTTATAGATTTTATTTATTATTATTTTGTGTATGTTATTGTGCACATGTGTGCGTGTGGACACACATGAATGTGTGCATGTGTGTGGAGGCCAGAAGTCAGCCTTGGTTATCTTCCTCTAGAGTTCTCCACTTTTGTCGTTGCTGTTGTTTGGGGTTTGTTTTCTTTTTGTTTTTTGTGTTTTTGAAGACAGGAATTCCTCCGTGTAGCCCTGGCTGTCCTGAAATTCGCTTTGTAGACTAGGCTGGCCTCGAACTCACAGAGATTCACCTGCCTCTGCCTCCTGAGTGCTAGGAGTCAAGGTGTGCACCACCACTGCCAGACTTCCACTTTATCTTTGAAGATGGTGTCTGCCATTGAATCTGGAGCTCACTGATTGGCTAGACAGGGATCCTGCTGACTTTACTGCCTCCACCAGGATTGCAGGTACAGGAATGCACTGCCACACCCATAGTTATCCGTGGGTGTTGCCTCTGGTCCTCACGCTTGCATGGAGAGCACATTACAAACATCACCATCTCTTCTTGCCCCTAACATTTGGAGATGGGTTCCCGCTGAGTTGTCCAGACTGGCTTTGAACTTGTGATCCTTCCACCTTAGCCTCCCAAGGAGCTGAGGTTACCAGTGCACACCATTATACTTAGTGAGTCTGCCTATTGTCCAATCCCCAGAATATCCCTGTCTGTCATAAAGACATCAGCCACGGTTTACCTCTTAATCACACATCCTGCCATATACTTATTTTTCATACCCATCTTCTTGCCCATCCATCTACACAAGCCTAAACATGGACCCACTCAACCACCTGCCTATCCATCCTGTGCCCAGCCAATCACTCGTCTGTCCAGCCATTGCACCGTGCCATACTTACCCACCCCTGTAGCTACATGTTCGCCCCGGGATCCACCCACTCAGTCTAAAGAACCATCTGTCCACCCACTTTATCCACCTATGTTCACTACTCTCTTGCTCCTCCATCCACTGGAGCTTATCAGTCCCCTTCAACCTTCCACGTGGCTGAAACCTGTCTGACTCCAATGAACCAGCAAAGACTCTGGAGCGTGGAGCTGAGTGGCGGTAATACAGTATGACTTCTCATGGGGTCCCTGGCACTGTCATGGAGCCTGAATCTGACAAGGGTCAGGGTGCTTCTTTAATAAAGAGAAAAGAGGCCAGGCGGTGGTGGCGCACGCCTTTAATCCCAGCACTCAGGAGCAGAGGCAGGTGGATCTCTGTGAGTTCGAGGCCAGCCTGCTCTAGAAGAGCTAGTTCCAGGACAGGCTCCAAAATTACACAGAGAAACCCTGCCTCGAAAAACAAACAAACAAACAAACAACAAAAACAGAGAGAGGAGAAAGCTCTGCTGCTGATGTGGTCCTTGCGGTGCAGACAACAAGAGTCTCTCTAAGAGCTGGGTGTCACTCCTCACTGCCCAGGGAAGCTTATGTTCCCGTGTCCCAGTTGTGGGTGTGGAAACAAGTCTAGTCTGCTCACTTCCTGCTACCCAGGAGAGGTGGGCAATGTTCTTTTTCCTTCAGACCCACCATCAGGCCTCCAGACCTCTTGCCCTGGACCCGAGGCCTCCCCTTCCTCCTATCCCCTCACCTCTCTGTCATGGTGCTGAACATCCTCTCAATAAACTGTACCTGCAAGGCACTGTCGCTCATCTGGGCCTCAGCATCTGTGTGGAGAGAGGGGCGTGGGCAGGAGGATGTCCAGGCGAACGACTGATTCAAGAAGGCAGAGGAAATCCCACCAGTCAGGGCAGTACAAGGGAGATCTTAACCACGTGGTGGTGGCACACTACTTTGACCCCAGCACTCAGGAGGCAGAGGCAGGCAAACCACTGTGAGTTCGAGGCCAACCTGGTCTACAGAGCAAGTTCCAGGACAGCCAGGGCTACACAGAGGAAAACCTGTCTTGACTCCTCCCTCCAAAAAAATATCAAACCATATAAAAGGGGACAGAAGAGAGATAGTGAAGACCAGATTCCAGATTCTGATGGCCACTCGAGTACTGGTCAAGCCACTCCCCAAATTCTCTGCGTTCTTAACTTGCTACCTGGCTCCAATTCATTTATTTTTTCCACTTAAGGTAACCTATCAGTCATAGGTGGGGGGCTGCTTTGCTGATCGCAGAGCAGGATCCTGAAGCTCAGGTTCTGTGTTCATTTCTTTTTCTTCCTCTCTCTTTCTCTGTCCCCCCCCCCAAAATGTATTTATTTTTATTCTCTCTGTGTGTCTATTTTCCCTGTCTCAAAAAACAAAATAAAACAAAACAAAATTACTGAATTGAATTGACTTTTTTTTTTTTTTGATTTTTGAGACAGGGTTTCTCCGTAGCTTTTTGGTTCCTGTCCTGGAACTAGCTCTTGTAGACCAGGCTGGCCTCGAACTCACAGAGATCCGCCTGTCTCTGCCTCCCGACCACCGCCTGGCCTTTGAATTGACTTTTAGAGTCTAATCTAGAGGCCTTTGGAGTGAAGTCCTAACCTTGATTAGTCCTCTCACATCTCAGACTCACCGTCCTGGCTACTCAGGAGCGGGAAGAATGCCAAGGAGGGACTGGCCAGTACCTGTTTTGTTGAGCTCTGTCAGAGAGTCGTCCAGCAACTTCTCGTGGACCCGGGCAGCTTTCTAGATAAAAGGCCTCAGTTCTCTCAGGGTTTCTTCCCTGGCCCCCACACCGGGAACACTGTCTCTCCATCCCCACCCTCTCCCCATGTGTGGTACCTCCAGCTTCACTTTCTCGAGGCCTTTGAGAAGCGCCATCTGGAAGTTATCTACCAGGACAGCAATCACCAGGCTGCAGAGGGGACAGTGAAGTTCTCTGAAAGGGGACACCAGGGAAGAGGCCACGTACTCGCCTCTGAGTCCAGTGCGGCCTAAGTGGAGTAAGGACTGGGGTGGATTAGGGAGAGAGCCATGGTGAAGCTGGGCAGTAAGACAGGTGCCTCACTTGAGGAAAATGAAGTACTGGATGATGATGTAGATCATGAGGATGGGGATGATATACCAGGCCCCTGGGGAGGGAAAGCGTCAGTCAATCCAAAGGCATTCCCCAATCGCCACCCTTTCCAGCAGGAATCAGCAGCCCCCAGATGGCAGATGTAAGGGAACCACTAGCGTCTGCCCACCCTGGGCCCTGCTGTCCATGTAGATGAGGGACCAGTCATCCAAGGTGAGCATAGTGAAGAGGGTGAACAGGGTGGTGAAGATGTTCTGGAAACGCTTGGGGTCCGATTGCCGGAACAACGCTCGGAGCACCACAGAGAAGAGGACTAGCAACTGCTCAGGGTGAAACCAGAATCAGAACCCCGGCCACTGTACCCACCTCTCACCAGGCTTCACCTAGTCCCTTCCAGACCTGCTGCTCCCCGCTCCCATCTGCCCTAGGTCAGCAGCCGCCCAACCTCCACTGCGTAGGATACAGAGGCAGGTGAACATGAGGGTCAGGATGGCTGTGATTGACGGCAAAGATCTTCTCAGAGTCCCTGTCACCTCCTGGAGACTGGTGAGGATGCTGTGGGTGGTGGTGAAGGCGGAGTCTGAGTTAGTGGGGATGGAAGTGGAAAGCTGCACCTGAAACCAGACTGGATACTAAAATTAGGGGGTCCCTTTTCACTGGGGACTCAGTCCTGTCCCCATGCTCCCCTGGAAAATGGAGCTATTATCCTTGCAAGAACACGAGGGAGGCTCATCCCAAGCATGCAAGGGGTCACGGTGCCAACCCACCATCCTCCCTGGAACAGGTCACAGTGGACTCCCTGGAAATCCAGGTCCCTGTGCCCTTTCCCTTGAGAATTTCCACGCCAGGACAAGGAGCCTTGGTGGCAATGACCTGAGCCTCCGAAGGACCCGGATGGCCCTCAGAGCCCGCATGCTCTTGAAGACTTTGAGGATCCGGAACAGGCTGTGGTTGTAGAACGAGTAGGATAGGGAGTTGATCTGGATAAGCACAAAGTCCAGCACCGCCATGACCATGATGAAGAAGTCTGAGGGTAGACCAGTGCTTGAGTTGCGGAAGGGCACAAGGGACCCACAAGTTCTCCTAAGCCAGAGTCCCATCTCTGTCCCTCTTTCCTCCCACAACCTACCCACCCACCCAGATTGTTCCATGGGTCATAAAAATACTCCAGGCCCAGGGCAATTAGCTTGAGCACGGCTTCTATTACGTAGATCGAGAGGAAAATGGAGTCCAAGACCATGAAGTACCATTCTGTGGGGACACCAGAGGCTTTTTTAGTGACAATCTGCAACATCCTGACCCCACAGCCCAGCTTTTTCCTTCCTCTCTAGAACCTCATGTAGGCCAAACACCCAGGCTGTCCCTGGCTGGGTTCTTTTTTGGTTTGGTTTTGTTTATTTAGACAAAGCCTTATTCGGTAGCTCCGGTGGCCTGGAAAATTGTAAGCATAAAAGCATTTAAAGTGTCCTAAAACTGCAGCCTTGGACTGTGGGCCTGTGGTTTCTTCATCTTGCTCTACTGGGCTTTAGAGGCCAGCATTCTCAGTCTTCCTGCTTTTACCCTTCCAGGGCTTCATGGTGGAGGTCTCCAGGCTCTTCCCCTAGACCCAGGACTTTCCCACCACGCCCTCTGAGCAATATATTTAGGGCATATGCGCCACCTGGTGGCTCCACCATGAACAGCACCGCCTGCAGTTAGTGGGTTTTCTGCAGTAGTCTCCAGCAATATTTCTAGCTCTGAGAATGTCACCTGTTGTTGGTAACTTTTTGCTCTTTTGGGGGGCCACCACCCAGCTCCCAGATAAATCACACATGGAGGCTTATTCTTAGTTATGAATGCCCGGCCTTAGCTTGGCTTGTTCCTTGTCAGCTTTTCTTAACTCAAATTATCCCAACTACCTTTTGCCTCTGGGCTTTTTCCTTTTCTTACTTCTGTACATCTTACTTTCACTTTTACTCCATGGCTGGCTAGGTGGCTTGCCTCTGACGTCCTCCTCTTCCCCCGTTCTCCTATTTATACTCTCTGCTTGCCAGCACCAACTATACTTGCTCCTGCCTATTGAACAGTCAGCTTTTTCTTAGGACCATTGGGTGTTTTTGACAGGGAAAGAATCACAGCTTCACAGAGTTAAACAAATGGAGTATAAACAAAAGCAAAACCTTAAAATAACATTCCCCACCGGGCGGTGGTGGTGCAAGCCTTTAATCCCAGCACTCGGGAGACAGAGACAGACAGATCTTTGTGAGTTAGAGGCCAGCCTGGTCTACAGAGTGAATTCTAAGTCAGGCTCCAAAGCTACAGAGAAACCCTGTCTCGATAAACTACTACTACTATTACTACTACTACTATTACTGTTCTCCGACGGCCACCGAGTTGCCAGAGAATGAAGATGAAGTAACAGGTTTCAAAGACTGCCTGGCACTGGCTCAGGCTCATGGGAAGTCCTGGAGTCTCAACTGTCTTCAGCATAGATAGTGGCACCTGACTCTTACCACCTCTGATCTCTAGCTCAGTGAAGGTCTGGGCCACAAGGACGACTGTGTTGAGGCAGACCACGATGAAGATGAAGGTCTCAAAGCCCAGGGACTGAGTCAGTGACATCATCATTTGCCGGAGACCCCAAATGAGGCGACATATTTTCCCCCAAATCAATTGGAAGATATTCCCAGAACGTATCTTCTTGTGGGTCCGCTGTGTCCCTGAAAGTAAGTCAGAAAGTTATGTCCGTGCAGGCAGTGATGGGGTGTAGTGATCCCAGGCACCTTCCCAGACGAACATCCCTCCTCTTGCCCATTCACTAATGTGACACTATGCTTGCCCTGTGCTGGCTATGGAACCACAGTCCTTAAACCTTCCACTTTAGAGACCAAGATGTTTGGGATTTGGCTTGGCAGGTCCTAAGAGTTCCTGATACTACAGATCTACCTTTGTTCATCTGGGAACTCAAAGAAAACCTAATTCTTGTCACCGTCCTGCCCTCTTGGTGATCTCTTTCCTGTTTAAGATCCTGCTAAATCGTCCCTTTCCTTGACTACTTTTCCTGTTCCCATTCAGTAAGTCACTTGCCCCTCTCTGATTGTTCATGAGACTGTTGCTATTTTTGCTAAACTGTAGGCACAGAGCCTGGGAGTCTGTAACAGTTAAGGTGTCCACATTTGATGAGAGCCTCAATGGTCAAGACATGGACATGGGAGCCTCAGCGGTCAGGACGAGAACACGCGGGCCTCAGCAGTCAAGACATGGACACGCAGGCCTCAGCGGTCTGGACGTGGACACGCGGGCCTCAGCGGTCAGAACGTGGACACGCGGGCCTCAGCGGTCAGGACGTGGACACACGGGCCTCAGCGGTCAGAACGTGGACATGCAAATGAATAAAACAGTGACTAAATGAAGAAACACTGTGTGGCCTCCAAAATCATGTACACTGTGTGGCCTCCAGAATCATGTAGCTTAAGGAATAAAGGGTAGGACAGTGAGCAGAAGAAGAATAAATGGCTGGTGGAATGCTATACAGGTGAGAACTGAGCTCCAAGGTCCGGACTAGATGTGCATGAATCTGTGTGAGGGAGTAGGGGTCCGGCTGCAGGCCCAGCAGAGACAGTAGGGGTCTGGCTGCAGGCCCAGCAGAGACTCACTCTTGCGCTTCTGAATGTGGTCAGTTTCACTCCAGGAGTCGGATTCTCTGGAACTCTCCTTGGGATGGATTCTGCTGGAAACACGAGAGGTGCCCGATCGACTCGTCAAGTGGGAGCGAGGCACACTGAAGACTGAGCTTTTGGCCCCCATACGAGAAGGGGAGCCGCCGAAGGTGCTGTGGGAGGCGCTCGGATAGGAATGCTCTTTGGGGTGAAGATGTTCTCCAAGTTGTTGTTCTTTGTGGTAACGGTGCTCTCTATGGTGGGGATGCTCACCATGGTGATGGGTGGCTTGGGGGCCTGTATGATGGCCGCCATGTTGGTGATGTCTTCCCTGCTTGGAGGACCCCTCAAAGGACTGGTGGGAGGGGCTCTCTTCAGAATGAGGTGGCTTTTCGTGGTGTTGGGATTCAGTAGGTTGATGCCTGCTGTCGTGGTGGGCTTGGTGATGGGATTCATGGGATCTCCCCTGGTGGGAAGCATCCTTTCTGCTGGATGACGCAGTAGAGAAGTGGGACGAAGCCTCACTACCTTGACGATAGTGATGTTTATCTTGGGACTGTCTGTGATGGAGGTGGGACTCAGTGTGGGGATGAGATCCATCTTGGGACTGTCTGTGATGGAGGTGGGACTCAGTGTGGGGATGAGATCCATCTTGGGACTGTCTGTGATGGAGGTGGGACTCAGTGTGGGGATGAGATCCATCTTGGGACTGTCTGTGATGGAGGTGGGACTCAGTAGGGGGATAAAATCCACCGTGGGGCGCACCCATATGGTAAGGGGCAGTACCAGATGCTGTGGAGAGGTGGGATTTGTTATAGTGATGGGACTGATGGAAGAAGGCACCGTCTTGAGAGTCTGAGGACTCACGGAAGTGCTGGGATTCATTTGGGTGGTGAAATCCGCCATGATAGTGAGATGGAGGGTGAGGGGGCTCCCAAGGATAGTGGACTCCACTGTGGTCTGGTCTGTAGTGGACGTGGGAGTATGGTGAGTGGGAGTGATGGCCTGAATCCGTTCTAGCAGTGTGTGCCTCACGATGAGCCTCGTCCATCTTCGAGGGTTGATCCATGACTATACTGAAGCCCCTGGAACAAAGAGGGCTCAAGTAGAGAATCCAAAGGACCTTTTCTGGACCTTCTTCTCTGCTAAAGCTGAGCTTAGTGCCAGCTATGGCCCAGGCTTCTAGAAAGATCTGACCATTCTCTTGGAACTCTCCTCTCTGTGATGTCACCAACATGCTTGGGCCTCATTTTACCCATGAGGACTCCTTTTGGACTTATTATTCAGAGTCAAGAATTATTGTGTCTAAACAAAACAAAACAAACAAAAAGGAAAAGGAATTACTGTGTCTAACCTATTTATTGTAAAATAAGGAAACCAAGCTGGTTATGGTGATGTGGACCTGCCATCCTAGTACAGAGTACAAATCTCTGTGAGTTCAAGGCCACTCTGATCTACACATTGAGTTCCAAGTTAACTAAAGCTACACACCGAAACACTGTCTCAAAAAACAAACAAACAAACAAAAAAGTCTCAACAAGCCCAAAGGTACAGAAAACCAAAGCTCGAGGTGACCCAGCAAAGCAATGACAAAACTGTACCAAGAAAAGGTTAGTGGCACCATGGGTAAAACTCTTGCTGTCTAAGCCTGATGAACCTGAATTCAGATCCCTAGAACCTACTTAAAAGCTGGACAAAACAACACAGGTGTTTGTAATCCCTGGGCTCCCATGGAGAGATGGGAGGCAGAACTGGGAGACTCTACAGAAGCTGACTTGGATTTAGGTTGCTGTATTCAGCATCTTAAGGTAGAAGGTGTGGGAAGAGGAAGAAAGCCTGAGTGGATGTATGTTGTTGATATGAGTGGGCTATTTTGTGGCACACACCTGAATACCCTCCAGCAAGGAAGACATAGCACACCTGTAAAAACCACCAGCAAGGAAGTCATGAACACACCTGCATACCCACCAGCAAGAAAGACATGAACACAGATGTGGCACCCACCAGCAAGAAAGTCATAAACATCCTGTGATACCCACCAGCAAGGAGGACCATGAATTTGAGGCCAACTTGGGCTACCTAGTGAAACTGTCTTGTAGAGAGAAAAAAATCTTCCCCTAGATTTGGTCCAGGCTTACCTACCTAGGGTCCTACCTACCTAGGGAATGTATTGTCCACAATAGACTGTGCCATCCCTAGCAATCAAGAAAATGCCTTCCCCACAGGCCAATCAGATGGAGACAATTTCTCAAGAGAGAGTCTCTCCAAGTCCAGCTTCAGCTTGTCAAACACATTACTGTTAAACTACAACTGCTCCTTGTCCCAAAGTGCTCGTGTTAATACAGAAATATAAAACAAAACAACTTTAAATGTCCCACACTCATTGAAAAGCTCAAAACCTTAGAAGCGACTACTAAAAGTTTAAATTGCTTTCCAATAATCGTAGTCACGTCACTTAAAGCGATTGAAGGACAGGTTTCTCAGTCACAACACAGCACACCATATTTCAGAAATATACCCGTCATAAACTGAACAATAACCTCGCGACGCCGTGAGTGGGGGCAGGAAGCTTGAGCTGGATATTCTGAAGATGTTAAAGATTTTACTCATAGGGCAGTTTGTCAGATAAAAGACTCTTTAATAAGGAAAGATAAAATAACTTGAAGGACTAGTGGATAATTTCAGACATAAATGAAGTGGAAAGGAGACAAGTATCCAGATCTGGGTGGATTTAAGGATATGGGCAGTTTTCAGGTAGATGATGGAAATAAAAGATTCAACAATATGGGGCTGTAGTGATGGTTAAAGGGTTAAAAACACTTAAGGCTCTTGCAGAGACCCTGGGTTCAGGTCCCGGAACTCACACGGTGGATCACTGCCTGAAACTTCAGTTCCAGAGATTGGATGTCTTTTTCTGACTTCCTCTTTTGTATGTGGATGTGTGCACACGCGCGCACGCACACCACACACACACACACACACACACACACACACACACACACATTTATTTTAAAAACTTCCAACAATCTGATTAAACTTGAAGTGTCTGGAAGGCAAAACAATAACCCAAGCAAAAACATCTCTTGCAAAAGTTTCTAGGAATAGCAAGTAAACCAAAGTCTGGTGATTGTGGAAGGATTCCAGCTAGATTGTCCAGCTGCCACAAATGCAATGAAAGAGCCTTGAGCAGAAAGAGTGCACTAACAAAGTAGCTGCAGAAATATGGGGGAAGTTGGCGAAATTGTTTTTGACGCTGGAATTTTCAGTTGAGAATTCCTTTATATGCTTTTCAGTACTTTCTACTTAACATCCTTCTCAAAGATTTGTTGGGTTTTTTTGTTTTTGTTTTTCGAGACAGGGTTTCTCTGTGGTTTTGGAGCCTGTCCTGGAACTAGCTCCTGTAGACCGGCTGGTCTTGAACTCACAGAGATCTGCCTGCCTCTGCCTCCCAAGTGCTGGGATTAAAGGTGTGCGCCACCACTGTCCGGCCTTCTCAAAGATTTGTAACACCTAAATCTGCCTGCGGCTATGCCTGAGGCCAGGTGGTGATGGTGGCACCTGCCTGTAATCCCAGAAATCAAAGGCAGAGGCACTTAGATCTCTGTAAATTCAAGGCCAGCCTGGTCTACATAGTGAGTTTAAGGACAGCCAAGGCTACACAGAGAAATCCTGTCTCAAGATACAAAAAGAAGAAGAAGAAGAAGAAGAAGAAGAAGAAGAAGAAGAAGAAGAAAAAGTTGTTCTGCCTGAGACCAGGACTGAAGTAGACCTTCCAAGATAAAGGCTATCATTAGACGAACATTTTAGTTTTAAAAAAAAGATTTATGGGGGCTGGAGAGATGGCTCAGTTGTTAAGAGCACTGTCTGCTCTTCCAGAGGTCCTGAGTTCAATTCCCAGCAACCACATGGTGAATCACAACCATCTGTAATGAGATCTGGCGCCCTCCTCTGGCGTGTGGGCATGCATGGAGGCAGAATGTTGTATACATAATAAATAAATAAATCTTAAAAAAATTATTAAATTTTATGTATATGAATGTTTTATCTTCAAGTATGTATGTGTACCATGTATATACCTGGTGCCTGTGGAAGTCAGAAGAGAACGTTGGAGACCCTGAAACTGGAGTTAGGATGATTGTGAGCCGTCACATGAAAGCTGAGAATTGAATTCAGGTCCTCGCAAGAGCAGCAAGTGCTCTAAACCACTGAGCCATCTGTCTAGTCCTGGGGCCAACAATTCTTTTCCTTCTTCCTTCCTTCTTTCCTTCTTTCTCCTTCTCCTTCCTTCCTTCCTTCTTTCCTTCCTTCCTTCCTTCCTTCCTTCCTTCCTTCCTTGTATGTGAATGTTTTGCTTGCATGTATTTTTGTTCCCCATGTGTATGCAGTGCCCATAGACGCCAGAAGAGGGCGAGCGATTCTCTGGAATTGAAGTTCCAGGTGCTAGGCCGGGCGGTGGTGGCGCACGCCTTTAATCCCAGCACTTGGGAGGCAGAGGCAGGCGGATCTCTGTGAGTTCGAGACTAGCCTGGTCTACAAGAGCTAGTTCCGGGACAGGCTCCAAAACCACAGAGAAACCCTGTCTCGAAAAACCACACACACACACACACACAAAAAAGTTCCAGGTGCTGAGAGTCAAACCTGGCTCCTCTGGAGGAGCCACTCTTCCTGGGGCATCTCTTCTGCCTCAAGGCAAATATCAGTGGAAGTAGGCACAGCAGAACAGAAGCTGCTCAGTGTCCTAGATTACAGGACCTACACCATGGTGTAGATATGATCACTTTCGGGAGGATGATTGCTTACTCAGTGAAGCAGTAAGCTTGCTTCTTTCCCTTTTTCTCTTTCGCTGGTGGAAGTGGAAGCAGGTGACCTGGACACTATCTAAAAGGAAGCAGTCTCAGACGCTGAGGACCAAATGAAGATGCACCCTCGGTCACTTCTCAGGGAGGTTTGACGAGTCTTCTGAGCTGCTGACTTTACTCCTGTTGTCTCTTCATGAGCATGGTGGAGGTGTCTATCACGAATTACACAGTTCCAGAACACAACGGTGTAATTTGTGTCTTTTCAGCTGTAATGGTGAATAAAAAAGACCGAGGTACCTTTCGGTTGGCCTGCCAAGGTATGCCACTAAGCAAACACACCACGTGTAACAGAGTTAGTGCAAGAGGTTTATTGGGGAGGGGTGAAAGAGTGAAAGGCCGTGTCAGAGTGGGAGCATGAGAGAGACAGGCAGACAGACAGAGAGATAAGAAAGAAGAGAATCAGAGAAGAGAAAGAGGCAAGAGAGAAAAGAGACAAGAGAGTGAGCTGTGCTTTGGTGAGCACTTTTAAGGGGTGCACATGGCCAGGAGTGCCACCAGGTACCTTTCCTCTGTCAGCCATGGGATATGTGCACCCCTTTTTTTGTTTGTTTTGCTTTGCTTTGCCTTTGGAGACAGGATTTCTCCGTGTAACAGCCCTGGCTGTCCTGGAACTCGCTCTGTGGTTTAGGCTGGCCTCAAACTCAGAGAGCTGCCTGCCTCTGCCTCCCTAGTGCTGGGATTAAAGGAGTGAGCCACCACCACCTGGCTTCCCCTCTTATTCTTGCTCAATATATTAAATCCAATTAAGTGGCCTTTCAGAGTTTTAAAACTGTTAGTCTTGTTTCAATTTACATGTGTCTTGAGGAACTGGCAACAATTTCAGATCTCCATTTTAACTCTTTCATTTTGAGGGTTCAGAATTCACTCCACCTTTTATCTGAATCTCTTTCACTTTCTTCTTTATGATTTAGGCTCCAATTTCTAATTTAATGTGTATGGTGTATGGATGTTTAGCCTGTATGTGTTTGTACACCACGTGTGTGCCTGGTGCCAGTTGAGACCACAAAGGGGAATCAGGTTTCCTGGAACTGGAGTGACGGACCTTTGTGAGCCATGGTGTGGGTGCTGGGAATCTACTCCAGATCCTCTGGGAGAGCAGTCAAGGCTCTTTGCTGCTGAGTCATTTCTCCAGCCGGCTCTAAATATTATTAGTTTTAAATTTACTTATTTATTTAGAGACAGGGTTTCACTATGTAGCCCAGTAACTCCC